ACTCTCCAAAGCGAATAAAATGGAACTGATGAAACAAGTCCTAAACGTAAAAATGCATAGTTAGCTGTTTAAAGGGAAAAGGAAAGCTAAAGCTTACTGAAAAGGCGAGTTCCATAACTCAACTTCAATCCCACAATAGAAGCCGCCGCTGCGCCTTTAGATAACTAAACATCACTGCCAAACCTGAAAAACAAACTCCCATATAATCCTGTTGCAAGCATTTATGTATATGTTTCTTGCAAGGTATTGCTAAATCACATTTTCCTTCCTTCCAATCAAATCAAATAGATTGATCACCTATAAATGCGTCTTACCAAAATTATTTGGTAAAAACAATCCTGTATCGAATAGGGGTATCAACTGAGAATTTCTACAATGGAGATTAAGGAAGAAAAATGAGTCATCTTGGAACATAATTGATGAAGAAATGCCATTTCTTGTAAATTCAGCCATTCCCGAAGTACAGAAAAACTTCATACAAAAAGCCATTAGTCAGACATTTGCAAGCATGGCTGACCTGGCAAATCTTCTACCCACTGGCTCAGTGCTTGCTTTTCAACTTCTGTCTCCAATGTTTTCAAACCAAGGTGCTGTAATGCAGTGAATCGATCCTTAACCGCAAGTCTGGTAATCCTCTGTGGGTTGTCATGTTTATTATCAAGCTTCACAGATAGCTTCAAGGACCCGAATGGGAATGTCAGTTACGGGTTTGCAACTTCCCATGGCTAGTGGATATTGATGGATCAGCAACTCTACCACTGGAGGTGGCAGCAAAGTACAAGCTGAAATTTGTAGATTTTGTTCATGCCTCGATGTCAATACTGGTTTTCGTGCCATTTCGCTGTTTGAACAAAATGTGGTGAACTGCCTTTTTCCCCAACCATCAGACGGAACAAAAGAGGTCCTCCCAGCACTTCTGGTCGGTATTGGGGTAATATGCAGTATGTTGTTCGTTGTCTTCCCCACTAAATGACCTGGAATTGGCTTCCCAGTCACAGATAGTTAAATCATTTTTTTGTCTGATCACTCGATGCAAATACACATGTTATGTACTTATGAAGTAATAACTTTGATTTTGTTCATGTCTATGACATTTTTTTGGGTGGATCTGTTAAATAAACTGGGACAGACAGCTTTCTTTACTGACATTCTGACCATCATCCAGGCAACGACATGGAATCATCATTAATCTGAATTCAATCAAATGCTGCAAAAGAATGAGATTATTAAGAAATTTGAGTTTGATGGAAAATAATTTTAACCGAAAAATAACAGAACCACGTCAAACATACTTTAAAAGTATCTAGCAATATGATTGATAAATAATAACCCAGTCTTGTGATAACAGAAGATACAAGAGGTCAGGGGAAAGAATTCAGCTCTGAAGGGTATGTATCTTCCCAAATCAGTCAGTATGTGCAGGATAAGAAACAAAAGGATATCAAGCTTTACCAGAAAGTTTTGTTAGAAATGCAATCAAGCACATCATTATGAAAGAAAGGGAGGTCAATGGTATAAATCTACCCGTTTTCGTTTCTTGGTTTTCATTTCTTGATGAAAAATCTGTGCCAGCTTCAGAAATGAAAAACCGTATCAACCCAAAAGCTCAGGTTACTTTGACAGCAAACTGCAGAAGAGGATTGTAGAAAACCTTTCGGCAAGAGGAAGAAAGACGAGGACTATTTACTATTAGATGGTCTCCATAATTTTTTTTATTTTTTATTTTTTATTTTTTTTAGTACCATAAAACACGAGAATGAATGACTTGGAAATTAAATAAAGTTCCTAACGTGAAATAAATTTTACTTGTCCATACGCATCGAGTTCCCAAAATTCCAATTTGTATTTGGCAGTGCAGTTAAATTAATCTACATGCAAGTTCAATTGGAAATAGTCTTTTTGCATTCATCCATCAGCTGGGCCAGTAACAGATCAGCAGCTTCACGCACTTTCCTTCTGTCCCAAAACCCATCCAATATTGAGTTCCACGTTTCATCACCAGGTATGCATCCATCAAGCACCATCTCATCTACAATACGAGCAGCTTTGTAAAGGTCTCCTTTCTTGCAAGCACAGTGAACGAGGGATTCAAAAGTATTGGCCTCAACTGATATTCCTCTGCTGCGCAAGCTCATGTATAATGGGAAAGCACGATTTAGATCGCCCTCAGCACAGAGTCCTTGAACTACCCTGTTATGAATCCTGACATGGAGTCCCCAAGTTACACGATTAGGAGTGATCCCGGCAAGAACCATTTCATCAAGGAAGTTCACAGCTTCCAGGAACTTACTACTATCACAAAACCCATTGATAATTTTCGAGTACAACCCGGCATCAGGTTTCAATCCCTGTACCTTCATTCTATCAAGAATCTCTACAGCATCATTAAGTTTACCATCTCTACAGAGTCCATGAATTAAGGAACTGTAAATTATTGTATTTGGGACTACGCGTTTGTGAATCATCCTCTCCAATAGCTCCTTGGCTTGTGAAGAATGCCCATTTTTGCAAAGACCGTCCATAAGGGAACTATAAGTATACACATTGGGCTCAATATCTTTGCTCTTCATCTTTTTGAGCAAGTCGAATGCTTCTTCCAAATAATTTGACTGGCAAAGGCCGTGTATCAACAAAGAATAGGTGACCACAGTGGGTGAACAGTCATTTGCCTCCATCTCTATCAGAAGTTCTTTCGCTTCCCTAATTCTCCCTGCTCTACACAATCCATTAATTAGAGTTCCATAAGTATATGAATCCGGAATGTGCCCACGCTTTGGCATCTCATGAAAAATCCGGAAAGCAGCATCAATGGTTCCATTGCTCTTGCAAAGTGCTTTGATCAACACATTAAGAGAGAAGACACTAGTAGGAATTCCTATCTTCCTCATATACCGATAGAACTTGAATGCCATTTTCAGTTGACTTTCATCGACAAGAATGGAAAACACTGTTACATAAGATTTTGCCGTGGGTTCACATTCATAATCATCCATCGTACGAAAGACCCTGATGACATCATTAGGCTTGTGAACGCGGGAATAAGCTCTGAATATAGATAAGAAGATATCTTCGGTGATCTTACACTTCTCGTGCTTCATTCTACCAACCATATCCTCTGCCAAAACAAACTTATTCGCTGAGAGTAATCTGGTGATAATTAGACCAAATGTGGTGTGATCATGCTGGAAGCCATTAGTGTACTCTGCAGTGGCGGCATCAAATATGCAAATCGCCTTCTCTAAGTCCTTTTCTGCTCGAATCAATTGCTCAACAAGAGATGACGTGATTTGCTTTGGCCATTTGGTCATTGACCTAGTTCCCATCACCGTGATCCTCTTTTCTATTCCTTTTCTTTACTCTTTTTGGTTCAACATTTATCTACAAACTTCAGTAGAATAGGCATTTCGTCGAACAAGTTGGAGTCATTTGGATGTCCTAGTTATGAACAGGAAAATACGAAACTATACAACTGATGATTGATGTAAGCACATAGATAAGACGATAACAATTGAATTTGATTCCAAGAAATCGAAATAGTGTTGAGTAGAATGATACCGCAGACGGCTTCCAGGGATTTGGTGACGCGGTCTTTCCAAAATTTTGCCCAATCGCGATATTAATGGGGTACTTTTTAAAATAGCTTGGTCAAAGAACCAAATTTTCATTTTGACCATTTTTTTTTTTGTATTCACCACATTGGCTTATTGCCATTAAAAAGACAATTCTACCCTTATTCATATCTAATAATTACAAAAGTATATCAAATGTTTAAAAGACAATAATATCCTTAATAGTTTAAATAAATTCTGTTACTTCCATACGTAAATTTCAAAATCAGTTTTGGTTTATCAGTTTCTCCAATACAGTAAAAAAGAATTTTTTCCTTCCATCTGCTAAAATATTGAAATCTCCCAAAATTATCAAAGGTTCAAGAAAGAAACAATACTCACAGTCGGCACTGGAAATTGGTAAGTGTAAATACGTATTTTGAATTTTGTTTTAGTTAAGTTTACTGTTTGAATCTGTAAATAATTATTTTGAGAAAGGCGGGTGAATTTTACAGTATTTAAACACAGATTTATAATTTTTTATAGCAAAAACAACAAAAGAAATTCATCTCTGTATGCATATATT